CATAAAATATAATAAATGAAATTAACAATAAAATGAACTATAAAATGCAAATTAAATAAAAATAAAAAATTTAATAAAATATAAATTAAATACAATGTATTACAAACATAAAAAAGAAATATAATGAATAAATTTAAATTAAATAATTAAAGCTAAACTAAGGTGAAAGAAAAAATTAAAAAAAAAAAAATAAAACAAAAGTTAAAATAAAATAAATTAATTTAAAAGCAAACAATGTGAAACCAAGTGAAATAAAAACAGTTTAACAAATAAATATAACAATAAAAAATAATAATTTTATATAAATTAAAATAAGATTAAATGTAAGTAAATAATTAAATATAATAAATAAAAAACGGAACAAATAAATAAAATAAAAATTTTAAATATAAATAAAATAATTTAAAAAACAAAACAATAAATAAAAAAAAATTAAATATTTAGAATTTAAATAAAATAACATAAAAAATAAAACAGAATTAAAAAATAAATAAAGACCGAAAACAAATAATATTTTACTTTTATTTATATTTGAGGTCGATATAAATAAAAGTGAAAAGCCGTTAAAAAATGAAATTAAAATAAAACGTAATAAAATAATTCGATAAAATATAATAAAATAAAATAAATTAAAAAAAGTGAAATAATAATAACAAATAGAATAATCACTTCAATTAAAAAAACAACAACATACTAATTCATCCATGAATCATGCACTTAATGTTTTGTCGTTTTAAAATAAACTCATTTAAAATTCTAATGAGAACTATAAAAACTTTTCTTAAAACTTACCTCTGAGTTGTTATTTTTTTTTTTCTTACGTACAAACGTATATACTACAAATATACGTGTTAAATGCACAATTCCTACGTCAATTGAAATGAGCATCTGGAGCGGAAATGTCGGAAAGTTGGAAAATACTCTTGTAAAATTCCAATGTCTCATCTGTGGGAGGAATAAAGAAAATAGAAAACTTGGTTTTACCAATTGGGTTTTTTTTTTTTAATTAAAAAATAATAACTATATAAAATACAAAACATTTATTTATTTATAAGTCAAGAAGTACTTTTGATTTCTGTTTAAATCTTATAAATAATAATAAGTTTTGATAAATTTTAAAATTTAAATTTAAATTTTTCGGTCATTAGATGTTAAGTGCAATCCCACATAAAACTCATACAAACCGTCTCATTTCTCATTTAATCTATAAAACATATTAAACGCAAATGCCTACCAAATGTACACGTACATATGTGCATTGAACATTAGTATATTTACTAAAAAATATCTGATATACATTTTCGTCACCTTCTAATTATCGCAAGTTCATTCAACCAACTAATCCGCCATCCCTTGTTTTCGTCATGCGTGTGACATATTTACGCTCGTGTAATGAATGAAAACCAAAATTACTAATTCGCTGGCAATTAACTAATAACTGTAAGCAAGCATATATACGTACATGTCGCTATGTATGTATAAATGTATGTTAATTTTGCATTGCGCTTAATTATCGTGACACCAAAAGGTGCTAATTACATGACTCGACTCGAGTCGACTTAACTCGATGCTTTATGAAAAGGTAAATAACATTTAACTTACTCGTCGCAAGCTTCAAATGTAGGCAATTTATAATTATCAATTCAAATGCCTTCCCATTCATACAAATAGACACATGTCGGCGCACACTAAGCAACCCTACAGTGAAAGCTGAACTATTGTACATTGTATGCAAAAATTCTAGTTAAAATCTAGTATTTTAAAGATGAACACATACTAGTTCGATATTTGTTCGCAAATCTGTGGTGGAAGGATAAACTATTTCTATCTCCACACCAAAGTTACAGCTAGTATGTATTATTTAAAAGTAATCAATATTAAATAATATAATAAAAGAGGTAAAAAGTATATAATAGAAAAATAAATAAAAATAAATAAAAACACAATAAAACAAAAAAATTTAGTAAATAAAAAAAATAAAATATAATTAAAATTAAAATAAAATGAAATAAATTTATATACAATTGGCGCTTTGTAACCGCTGAAACGATTTTCGGCTGAACTCCTCCTCCAATTTATGGTTTTGCGTCTTGATGTTTTTCCAAAAAATGGAGGGACCTACAGTTTATACAAAGCCGCCCCGAACGGCCGACGGCTTTTTTATGAGGAGCTCTTTATTTCATGTCAGAAATACACTCGAAGGGGAGGACATTCCCTGCCTAGGAGCGACCGCAATTACAAAATTTAACTTAATTTTTCATTTAAATTAATTTTCTTTAACTATTTGGATGTTACTAAGACACCAGTATTTGAGCCCGAGCCTTCCGAATGGCAGTACGCACTCGGGTACGGCGGCCGCGAAATAAAATAGTACAATATATAAATTTAGAACAAAGTAATTGAGTATAAAGTAATATTAAATAAAATAAAATTAAAAAAATTAAATAAAATATGTTGAACTAAATAAAAATTAAGAATAAAATGAAACAAAATTAATTTAAATGAAATAAAAGAAAGATATATAAAATGTAAAAAAATTAATAAAAGTGAAGTCAATCAATATGAAAAAATAAGATAAAAAATTGAAATACTAAATTAAATAAAATATAATAAAAAAAGAAAAAATAAGTAAATAAAAAGAATTAAATAAACTAACTGGAAATATAAAAAAATTAATTAAAAGGAAATTTAATTAAAATGAATGGAAATAAAATAAAATTACATTAATTAAAACGTAATAACATATAAAAAATAAATTAAAATTAAAATGAATTGAAATAAAATAAAAGAAAACAGAAAAAATATAAACCAAAATAAAATAACATAAGACAAGATAAAATAAAATTAAATAGAATAAACTGAAATATAATATATATTAATATAAAAAATATGGTAAAATAAATATTAAAAAATTTAAATTAAATTAAATTGAACTAAAATAAAATTAAATAAAAGAAAACAAAAAAAATCGAAACCAAATAACATAAAACCAGATAAAATAAAAAAGCAATATAAAATAAAATAAAAAACAGAATAAAATAAAACAGGAAAAAATAAAACTTTTTATTTTATAGTATAATTCAAAATTACATGAAATTAAAAACAAAATAAAGTAAAAAATAAAATAATAAAAAATATTAAATTAATTAAAATATAATAAAATAAAGAAAAAATTAATATATAAAAAGAATTAAATAAAATAACTGGAAAGAAAGAAAAAATTAATTAAAATTAAATTTAATTAAATTGAATGGAAATAAAATAAAATGAAGCAGAGAAAAATGAATCAAAATAAAATAACATAAAACAAGATAAAATAAAATGAAATAGGATTAACTAAAATAGAATAAAATATATTAATATAAAAAATAGGGTAAAAAAATAAAAAAAAAAAATATTAAAAAAATTAAATTAAATTAAATTGAATTAAAATAAAATTAAATAAAAGAAAACAAAAAAAATCAAAACAAAATAACATAAAACCAGATAAAATAAAAAAGCAATATAAAATAAAATAAAAAACAGAATAAAATAAAACAGGAAAAATAAAACTTTTTATTTCATAGTATAATTCAAAATTACTTGAAATTAAAAACAAAATAAAGTAAAATATAAAATAATAAAAAATTAAATAAATTTGAAAAAAAAACTAAAATAAAATTAAATGCAATAAAATAATTGAATTAAAACAAAAATTAATGAATTACGATAAAATATTATATATAAATAAATAGCAAAATAAAACGAAATAAAATTATGTAGACCTTTTTTATTTTTTTAAATGCTGCTGAGATATTAAAATATACGATCAAAAAGTTGATTTACAGAAAAAAGGGTGTATACACTTTTTTAACTTATAACTAAATTTCATCTAATTAACGAAAATAATGCATGTATAATGAGCCAATCACTTAATTAAAAATTATAAAGACTAATTACTTAGTACATATATACATATATGCTTGCTGCTAACCTTTACATCATAATGTCTACACCTAATGACACAACTTTGTCATTAGACATGTGGGAAAACAGGCCAAAGTTCAATGATCGCAATTCATTTTTTTTTCTTTGTGTTTCCACGGCTCCCCACTATTGGAAGTAAACTTTCATTTTCCATGAAATTAAATGAAAATGCAATAAAATAGCATTTTTTATGAGCTTCTCTATCGGCACGAGCAGGTACTACGTCGGCCGTAAGTCACACAGAATGATAATGATCGACATAAAAAACGATAAAAAATGTATCCGCTCATCAGCCCATCCGCCCAGTTGTACGCCCGTCTGTTTATTTGATTTATTTACCTTATCTGTCCATACTGGGCGGTGTGTTGGTGTGTGTACTATTTTCATTGTTTTGGAGGAACGGCTGTTTATGCGACTCGTGGCTGGTTGACTGGTTGACTCGTTGATTTTCAGTCGATAAACGCTAAACACGCTAAGCGTATGTAATTCCCGTGATTTACACGAGATTCGCAGTGTTAAACGAGGCGCTTTATAAATATAAATGAATGAATAATTGAATGATCGACGGTCGACGATCGACGGTGATCACACTTCCGCCGCCACCGCCACCGCCACCGCCATATCCAAACCTGCTTAAAACAGTCGCGTTGCGGCACGTTGGGACGCTAACGTGGAAAAAGGGCGTGCGTCCCGTAAATTGTTGGATATTTAAGTAAACAGTAAATTTGTTGTTAACAAAATTAACCATAATTTGAGCGTTAAGTAGGCAATGCCAACGGAGCGTTAAATCGGCTGTAAATAACAGGCAATTTGGCACGCCGAAAAAAAAATTACTCTTCCACAGATTTTTAAATTCTAATAATTAAACGGCAGAAACTGACCTCCTTTGAACTTTTGTTGTAAACGATGAACGCGCATTTCTTTGGGAACATCTATTTGAAAATCACACCATTTACTCACTTATTCACTTAAATATGTACACGTAATTAATCACATGTTTACTCTTTTCTCTTTTTGTTTTTGTGCACAGATTTTTTCACTTAAAAAATTTTTTTTTATTACCAAAACAACGAAAGGACGTTATTTGAAACGAAACTACAATAACAAAACAAAAAACATAAATAAAAACAAACGCATTCGACATTGATTAATTGTTTATCAAAATTGTGAGTTAAACTCATTAGCCTTGACCCATCAACTGACTTTCGACCGTAGACCGACCAGTTCGCGTACGCGCGACCTCTCTTTCTACCACCAAAATGAGCATTATTGATAGCGGACGTTATCGGCTACGTAAAGATTGGGCCAGCGCCTCCATACCGTCATTGGTCGACATCGATGAGCATGTGAATGATGAAGTCGAGAATTCGCTGAATATCACCACACCCTTGCCACCACCGAAGCCGCCACGTCGCAGCTCATTGGCATTGGGTTTGTTCTCGAGCAAGGGTGATAAGAGTCAGAAGAGACGTAGCTCGATTGCGGCGGTATTTTTGCGGCGCGATAGTAATAAGGTGAGTTTATAAAAATTATTTATTTATAATAATTATTATCATATAAGTATATATCGTTGAAGTGATTTTCACCCTGCCCCAATTTATAATATGTTTATGATTTTTCCACATATGGAGGGATTGAGAGTTTTTTAGAAGCCATCTCCGAGTGGCAGTTAGATTTATATGTGTGTGTTTTTGGCATTGTCTGCTGTGAGGCGATCACAATGCTGAGGAATATAAGTTCTATCAGATGTCTCTAGGGTGTACTACCCCAAGAATTACCGGCGAGGTGGCAACAACGGTTCTTGGCAGTGCCTCCGGTAGTCAGCAGAGACTGGTTTAGTCAAATACTGAGCAAAATATTGTTAATATCATTAAGTAAAGACATGTATTGGACTTTTTACTCTTGACCTTTTCACCGACTGGGGTGAGATTACGTTGAAGTGGTTCCTGGGCTTCAGTGTTCACATTCTCTTTCTTCCTTACAACTTTAACAGAAACTATATCATCGAATCTCTCACTATGCTTGCTCAAAATACGATGTCCTGTAAGAAGACGAGTAACTGTGAAGATCTCCTTTCCTTTCAATAGATAAAAAAAATCTTTCCTTACGTTCTTTCACCACATATTATCCCATTCAAATTGCGACAATTGAGATCCTTCCGTCTAGACTTGGCATTGGCGACGAATGACTCTTATGCAGTGAGCTGACTTGTCCATCAGTGATGCTTAAAACCAGGTTGTTGGCGTAGATGCTGCTACCGACTCTGGGATCTAGTTTTGACTCATCCCCATTTCCTCTTTAAACGGTTGGAATGAAGTCTGCAGTGTTGTGCCCATCCTTTTTCATTGGTTCAACTCATAAACTCCCATGATGTCAATGACGGTTATATAGTTGCCCGTCTGGTAGACGAAATCTTCTTATAATGTTAGATCTACCTACTTCCATTCAGTCGCCTTCTGTAATCTTGCCAAAGCGCAAGCCGCATTATATTATATTAATGGAGAGTAGATTTAAAATAATGTTCCTGGGCTCAGTCATTCTATTGAATGTAACTATGGCGAGGCTTTTTCGAAATAAAATATTTTCGGTCACACTCTTCATAATATTTTTTTAAGAAAGAACACACCCTTAGCCAGCTCTCCCTTATCTTCCTTTTATTACTTCAACTCCGATGTGATTGTTAGAGTAAAATAATTTTCAAAGTTTAATTTTTCTCTCTCTTCTCTCTCTTCCAGAATTCAACCAAAGATTCCTACGAATCAGCTGTGAAACACGAGAAAAGCGATGGCTCCCTTTCGCCTGGTAGCCCGGAAATATCCTACACTTCGGGGGAGAATATACGCACCTCTTCACCCAACGAACCGGGTAAAGTAACCTATTTTGATGATGGCTCCAGCCTAAGACCGATAGTGAAGGGTATTAACAATCCCTATGACTCACCGGTGGATAAGGAGCGTAATCGACGACGACGCAGCTCATTGCAAGCGAAATTGGAACGACACCGTCGCAAAAACAACGACATAAGCCAATTGAGCATAGACAACAGCTTGCCGAGCGGCTCACAAAGCGATTTGACCAATGGCAGTATGAGTGGCGGTGGTAGTGGTATCGGTACATCATCGGGCGATCTATCATACGGTGATATTGATGCCAATCACTCGGCATATTTTCCGAGACAAAAACGACACTCGTGGTGGAATATTTTTGTGCCAGAGCATTTGAAGACCAGGTGAGCAAGAGTAAACGAATATTAGCGATAGAGAGAGAGAGAGAGAAAAGGCAATATATATACTGTAAACTAAAGGGATCTTTAACTAAAACCAATAACTGTATGTGTTTATGTGAATTTAAACAAATTAGACTGCTATGAATCCCTTACACACCTCCTACAATTAACACGTTTGAAATGATAAAAGGGTATTATGAAACTAGTGGATTCTTAACCCTTACACGACACGAATGTTTTGTGCATTTTAATTGTTGAACCGATTGCAAATTCCGTCTCACTGAATCTAACAAAAATTACTGATTGATTTTTAATTTTACTTTATTTTTATTACGTTTTATACTTGAGTTATGCAAATGACCCTTTTAAGGAGTTTTAACCGAGCCCAATTTTATACATACATGCATAAGAGTATATCATTTTAAGAACTCGAGTCATTTGTACTTATTTTTATAACTAACAAGCACTAACCGGGCCAAGAGAGAGAGAGAAATAACGTAAAAAATGCTTAAATTTGCACGTGTTCATTTTTGTAATGCAAAAATCTTTGTAGCTTTTTTGAGTGGGCAAATTTGTACGTGGGAATAACCAGCGTGTGGTTTAATCGCGTATGCTGTTCTTTTCCCAAGACTGCGGCCTTTTCAGACTTTTAATCGTTTTTTTTTTTATTTTTCCTCTTTTGTATCTCTCATATTTCTTCAATCGGCAAAGAAGATCATGTGAGCCAACCGCATCATTAACCGCACCTCTGCCGCTATGCCCGTTTGTTTGTATTGATATCATATTTTAATATCATATTTCATTTTATTTTACTTTTATTTGGTTTCATTGAAGACATCATCTTCTCATCATCAACTGATTTCCGCTCCATTGCGTGTTAAGGTATTTTTTATGGCTTAGGAAATGCTAAAAATAACATTTGAAAGGTGACAACAAAGACACAAACAGTTGATGAAGTTGCCCACAAAGTTATGTTCTTTGTTCAAAATATTTGAAATATCTGAAATTTGCTCAGCAAATTTAAAATATGTTTACATATATTTAAATTATAAATATAATTGGCGCTTTGTAACTGTTGAAGCGATTTTCGGCCGAGCTCCTCCTCCAATTTGTGATATTCGTTTTGAAGCTTTTACCGCAAATGGAGGGACGTACAACTTACTCGGTAGGCTGGATATTACCTGGCGAAGGGCGACTGCAGAAAAATTAATTATCTATAATTTTGAATGTTGGTCGAACCGAGACTCGAATCTTAGCCTTCCGAACGGCCGCACGCAATTCTAAGTTTTTTCTTTATTTAAAATTTTTTTTGTTGTATTTTATTTCTTTATATTTCAGTTTTTATTTCATATTAATTTAATTAGGGTTTTTCTTGTTCTTGTTTGGTTTTATTTAATTTTATTCCATCCAATTTTATTTTACTCTAATTTCTTTTATTTTATTTTGTTTCATTCCTTTATTTTCTATATTATTTCATTTTTTTATTTTATTTCATTGATTTTTGTTTTATTTTATTTATTTTATTGTAATACCTATTTTCTTAATTAAGTTGAATTTTATTTTGTTTTCTCTTTTCGAAATTTTTAAAAATTAAAGAAGTAGATGAAATAAAAAAAAACAAAAAATAGAAATAAAAGAAAATATAATAAAAAAACATTAAAAAATAACAAAAATAGAAATATTAAAACTTAATTGAAAAAAAAAAAAATAAAAAAAAAAAATAAAAATGAAAAGAAATAAGAGAAAGATTAAAAATTAAAAAAAAAACACAAAAAAATTACAAAAATAGAAATTTTAAAAAATAATTGAAAAGAAAATTACAAAAAAATAAAATATAAACAAAATTAAAGAAATAAATAAAAAAAAAGAAATAAATAAAAAAAAAATTAGGAAAAAAAATGTGATTAAAAAAATATATATATATTAATGATAGAATCATTGCTAATTCTTAAAAATGAAAATAAAAATTCAATAAATTTTATTTTCGAATACAAATTTTGCTTTGAAAATTATTTTCTTTTTAACAGAATAAAAAATATTCTGTAAAAAATAGTTTATTAAAAAGAATTAAGTGAAAAAATATTTTTGCAGGAAGATAAATAAAAATAAATATTTATTTAAATTTTATTTTTGGAAAAAAAATTAAAAAATACAAAGTAGTAATAATAAAACTTTTCACCAAATTATAATTAACTGAAGGAACTTTAATGGTATGAAAACTAAATAATTATTAGTTATTTTTTAAACGATCGGTTCGTGTTTAATTATAGTTTCTTTTTAATTGATAATCTCAAAAGTTATTTCAAAAAAAAAAATTAAAAATTACTTTTATATGTAATTTAATTTGTTACGGCAAAATAAATTTTTTTTCTTTTCGCCACCACAACGGTAAAAAAAATTCCAATCTAATAAAATGTGTTTTTTATGAACGCGTTTCTTCCACATTCCTGCGATTCTAAATAGTAAAAATAATGTTATGCCATTTATTATTAATCGTTTTAAATGATGAACAAATAAACGCTTAAATTACAACTATTAATTTATTTTAATTTCAATACACTTCGCAAAAAAAATAAAACAAAAAAAAATTAAATCCTCACGAAGCGCATAAATAAATAAATTTTCCACAATTTAAATATGGAATACAAAGCAATTGAAAAGTGAAATGTTACTCCCACACAATTCACAAACAATGTCTATATACATAAGTACATACAGATACACCGTATACACCTATCTAACTACCGTTAACTGTGCAACGTTACTCTCAAACAAAACAAGTCAATTTTAATTAAGATAAGAACAAATTGAACCACTTTATATGGGTTCTTTCCGTTGATAAATATTCATGAAAATATTCGCGCTGACAACCCACTATAAATGGCTGAAATAGCTAGCGGTACGCCAATAAATACAGTGCAAACAGCAGCAATTGTAGGGCAAAATATTCTGTAGTAGTAATTACAATACAAGCGCTTACATGTAACGGTAAAATAACAAGCCTATTCATATGTAGGTAGATACATATGTACATGAGTATTTGCCGGCAAAAAAAAAACAAGAAGCCACGACTGAGGTTCACCATCTGCCGCCTTCAAGCTACGGCATTAATGAACAGAAACTAATGAATCGTAAGCGAGTGCCGAGCGAGCGCGTGTGCGGCTGCACGTTTGCCTCAAAGAGTATGTACACCAACATCCGATGTAATCAATGCAACACAGTGGCGAGTCGCCCAAAGATCATTTTCGGTGGAAATACTAAATATTTGAATAGCTTATCAGCAACTCGAGAGAACTACGTACGAGCAACAAAAATTCTGCGGTCATAGAGCGGAACAATCAAAAATAAAAAAAAAATACGAAATTCACTCAATTTAATTTGAATATTTATAACAAAATATTTTTTTTTTTAATTAAATTATATAATTTTTTAATTAACTATACCATACAATTTTCATATTTGAGGTTTTACTGAGAAAATAAGAAACTTTTAAAGTTAATAATTTTGATTATTTAAATAACTTTTAGTTGTCTTTATGTATTTCCATACATACTCATGTACATATAAACATAAATAAATAGATCTCTATGCGCAATAAGTGTTGAAACAAATTTGTTGAAAAAATATTTAAATTTCTTGAATGTACATGCTAAATAATAAATTTAATACTGTATTTATTTGTATTATATAACGCAACATAATGATTATGACAAAAGCAGTCACCGATTTCTTAATTTTGAGATTTTTCTTAGAATGCAGAAATATACAAAAAATCTTCATTTGTGTATTTACTTATATTTATTAAAAAATTTGTTGCACATTTTTTTTCATTTATTGTTAAAAGGTTTATTTTATTTTATTTTAGTTTAATTTATTTATATATATTTGTTTTAATATAGCCTATATTCATTTTATTTGATTTATTTAATTTTGTTTGGTTTTATTATTGTATTTCATTTTGCTTTATTTCTGGTTTTATTGAAATAAACTAAAAAAACATTATTTTACTTTATATTATTTTCTTTATCTTCTAATACTTTATATATATATTCTTTTTATTTTATATTATTTTACTTTGGTTTATTAATTTGTTTTTAAAATAAGTATTTTTTCATTGTGTTTTCTTTTATTTAGATTTTATTTAATTTTACTTTGCTTAATTTTAATTTAAATTATATTATTTTATTTATTTTGCTTATTTAATTTTATATTTTATTATTTTTTTTTTTTATTTAGTTATATTTGATTTTAAATAGATTTTTTATTATTTTTTTATTTCTCTAATTTTATTTTATTTCATTTTGTTTTGTTTCATTTATTTTGCTTTATAATTTTTTATTTATATATATTTTTTTATTACATTTTATTTTATTTCATTTGGTTTTATTTTATTTTATTTGTTATTATTATACTTTTACATAACTTACTTAATTCTTTTTTTATTTATATATCTTTTTTTTACTACTTTATTTTATTTTATTTCAGTTAATTTTTTTTTAGATTTTATTTTAGTCTATTTTGTTTTCTTTTAGTTTTATTTTATTTCATTTTGTTTTGTTTGTTTATTTGCTATTATTATACTTTTACTTAATTTGCTTTATAATTTTTTATTTATATTTTTTTATTTATTTATATTATTTCAGTTTATTTTTTGTTTAAATTTTATTTTAGTTTATTTTGTTTTCTTTAAATTTTATTTTAATAAGGTTTATACTAATCCGCCTCCAAACGGCTGCTGGTGCTTTTACGAGGAGCCTTTATTTCATGTCAGAAATACACTCGGATGGGTTGGAACTCCCTGCTCGTTCTCGCAATTAGAAAATTTAACTTATTTTTTTATTAAAATAAATTTTCTATAACTTTTTGGATATGGCCTTACCAAGATTCGAACCAGGTCTTCGGTATGGTAGTACGTAGTGCTAACCAAATTTAATTTTTTTTTAATGAATTTTATTTTATCATTAAATTTTTATTTTATATTTTCAACCTCATTTCAAGAAACA